CAGCAAGTAAGGCGACCCGGCTGATGGCACCACGCGACGGCCGATGTGGTATGAGTTTATTTGTGTATGTGCAATTCATGGTTGTACGTGGGCTGGAATACTGCCAGGGCGCCCACACCTAGACAGGAGGACGATTAGGGTCCTCAATCAAAGTCTTTGGCTCAAAAACCTAACCGCAAGGCAGCGGTGTTTGGCAGGGAAATGCAAAAGCATTACCATTTCTACGGAACAAGTCGCCACATGTTCCAACCCTCAACCTGGAGGGCCAGGAGACTGTGTTCGTCAGACCTCTAACCATTGACCAACCTGGTGTGAGAGACTCTGTGAGTATCGCGGGACACTCTCCAGTATAGCTCAATGGATCGCTGAGGTGCGCAAACCGTCACACCACGGTAAGGTCCAGTCTTCGTGACGGTTTGGTATATTTCGGCTAGATCCTTGTTTTCTACAGAGATGTTCGTTGTCTCTCCATTGAAGTAGTGCAGCTGGTGCCTAGGATCATCGGATGCCACTTCTGCAGTCCATCTGATGGGTGATTGATCAGCTGACTGAAGCACAGTCCTTGATATTTTGCCTTCCAGATCTCGCAATACGTGTCCGGCCGCATTACGATAGATCCTGGGGCATTAAATTTGCCCTACTCATTGCAAACGAGATGGAGAAACTTCAACAAATGAGCTGCGCTTCTCGCTGATTGTATGTTATTAGCTATTTGAGTCCAGTGGATGTTGAACGTTTCTTGCGGATTCGCTTGCCTCTCGCTGAATTTGGGGATGTCAGTATGTGTTGATTAGCTGTACTTCCTTAGCTTACTATGCGTCCATTGTGGCCCATTGTGATGGGACCAGCATGAGGAATTGGTGCACGAGAGCATGATGGATTTCAATTCACAGCTGGGTATTCGAGTCATTGGGTGGGTGTGTGCATTCATGAAAATGTCCAACATACAATAAAAAATGGTGTGCAGGCGTAGCTGGTAGTTCCGATACCGGAGCCGCTTCGACGATCGAGGCTATATCAACTGTTGGGGGCGTCTTATCCTGAGCATTGCACTGATTATCTGGCATTAGAATCGAGTTTCATGAGTACATGTTACGATCATCATGATACGGTATCGTTCGGATTTTGTCTGAGGATGCACCTCTAGCTTTCGCCTAAATAAGTGCAACATGCCAACCCGCCGCAAAGGAATCGGACCTTATCTTGGTATTGCGGTTCGTGCATCTCTATAACCCATTGGGCTGTACTTGGGATTTCACTTTGACATCCACAGAGTCTTATACCAGGTTGGTCGACAGAAAAAGGTACGACGAACGAAGCCTTCCAACGCTGAACGCATCTCTATAACCCATTGGGCTGTACTTGGGATTTCACTTTGACATCCACAGAGTCTTATACCAGGTTGGTCGACAGAAAAAGGTACGACGAACGAAGCCTTCCGGTTGAGGGTTGGAACATTTTCGGCGGCTTGTTCCCTAAAAAATACAGCTGTGGTCGTATTTTGTCGGCCATGCCCCGCCTTGTGGTCAGGTTTTACAGGCTAAACGCTGGATGGACGTCTTGCATTAGATACATGACACCCGGCGACACACTGTTTCAGGTTTCAGCCACAGCTCGGCTCAACGTATCGTCTGACTCCAGGGTAGACCGAGTGTTCAATCAGACCGAGATATTTCGTGCATCTTAACGACGGAAAATGTTGGACATCTTTATGGCTTACTCCACTTTATTCTTTCGACAGGCTCTGGTAGCCCTCTTTGTCAGTGAAACCGTCAAGGACCACAATATCTCTGATTTTCGGCAAAAGATTTATGGGCAGACCACTTCGAACATCAGTTTAGTTGACCACCTGCCGTTTTCTATTCGGACTGTCGGCCTTTAACAGGAACGTGGGTTTTGAGTGTGGATCACCCGTCAGCCTAAGTAGTATCCGATTGTATTTCATTGTGTTGCTGGTCTCCATCACCCTCCATCTGCTCCGTTCAGGGACGACAATTAATACCTAAGTTAGTGCCTGTCCAATCTATGTGCACCTATCTAGGAGAAAAGGGCCGTCCCAGACAACTATGACATATTCGAAAAGAATACTCTCTCCCTGTGTGTAGTAACCACAGAGGCGTCAGTAACAAGGCGTCCGGCGTCACTTATTTGTCGTTATCTTACGGTGTCACTCGAAAAATTGACCCGTGAATATCAAGCCGAATTTCGACTCGTTAGAGACTGAATCGATTGCCTCTTTCATCCATACTCGCGAGGAGTGCAGCAAATGTTCTCACTACGATACCTATCCGTAGAAACATAATGTCCCCAAGTCCTAGATGTCCTTTCTCCAAGGTTTCTAGGTATACGTATGAATCCAACACCGCAGTCAATTCGTTGACGCTAAGTCTATTTGACATGATGGCGGCGTGAATGTTTAAGAAATCAACTTATTGAATTTGTAAGTGATCACGCAGAGGAATTTCACTCTTAGAACTCCCGAGCAACTGTTACGTTAAACTCTGCACAAACACCAGCGCTCTTCCCTAAAGCGTAAGAGATATAGACAGATACTGCACATTCTGAAGCACGGTTTTGCACTTTGTGGTTGCAAACTTATGTCGGAAGATGGTATGATGGTGGTCACTTTTCATCAGTGCCTGTTTTGCATTCATCGCATATTAGAACGTCGCCTGCTCACTCAACTCCGACAAAATCCGCACCTGCAACGATTTAAACATGAGATTTTTGAAAACATCCAGCGTTCACCTCCTTATTTCATCGATGAAATAGTTGTACAAAAATGGACTGACCATCCCCCCTGGGCACCCATTTTTGTAAGGAGGCTTTTGAAAGTACTCATAAGTTTTTGAGTGTAAGGAACTTATCGAGCCTTGATGAGTAAACATAGGTAGAGGGAATGATGGACTGTGAGGTCGATGAACATCAAAGATGTGTATCGTCCGTACGGCGTCGCTCTAACACCTGACGTGTATTGCCGAGAAAATCATGGAATGATAAGCGAGTAGACGTCACGTCACCTTAAGAAGTGATGCAGATACTGATTCTGACAACCGTGCGGGTATTTTGGGCTTTCTGAATGCCCGAGAGAATTGATTGGGTTTACGGAAACTCGGAAGTAAGTTGATTTAGTTTCCGTTATTTCCAGAAGGGATTATTTTGGTGAATCGTGCTCCCCTGGTAAATCCAACTGAGAAACAAAACGCTATAACCTATAAACTCTCTGAATGGTTGATTTCTTTCGACAGTGTTGCTTTCTTGATGCGGTGAGGTGTGTTTTATGGCCAGTTAACGCAATCAACGAAGCAACGCGATCCGTCGTTCGCTGCAATAGAAGGATGTATCATAACATGTATAATGAAAGACTAATGTTTGATACCTGTTGGGTGTGATCTCTGCTCCAGAAGCTTCGTTTTACAACGTTTAACAACTTTCGGTGGTGGTGGTGTGTATCTATCTATCCTCGATTACTAAGCGACCAACTTTTACGAGAATCTAGACTTTTCATCGTCTGTTGATTGACCCTGACACAATCAGTGACTAGTTGAATCTTTTATTTCGTTAGCGACATGTTTACTTCTGACAACCCTGTTTGTCCGGCCTCACCGGTAATTCGGACTTCCAAACTGGATTATGTTGTGGTATTCAACACTGACTTCTCTGTTTCCCTTTGTCCAAGTCCCTCAGTTGGTTTGCTTCACTGCCGTGCAACCACAAAGTTTATCTGATAATATTTGAAGCACTAGATTGAAAAGAAAGGAATGGGTGAGGAAGGGGACCTGTTGCCAACCTATCGCACATACTCTGAGGTATGTGCACCTCCAACCGCTCACTCAGACAGTCTGAAAAGAAACTGACAGCACGGACGCTGCCTACATCGATCAGCCGCCACTTCTTACAACTTCTAGGAGAGTCACGGAGACTCCATCCTGATAGACAGACCACATCAGCAACACCTAAACTCTTCGTAATCTTTTTTGCACCCTTTTCTCGAGCCGTACGTTGTTCATCTCGCTGTTTGCACCATTCTGAAGGGGGCATGAAGAACAGCACTCGTCTCGATAGATAGTGTTTCAGCATTCGTAGTACGTGGTGGAGTCACCATAGTTGATGGTGCTGATGTTTTCTGTGACTGAAGTACCCGCTACACAAACAAGTGTTCGTTTTCCAATTGCCTTGTTACGAATTCGTTTAACTGGCTCGTTAGACCGGTTTCAGTGGGTATACGACTAAATTTTTCGCGTTCATCGGATGCTCATCTAAGTCGCCTTACTCGTTTAAGTCCTGATCATCCGCGACAACCCTTCAAATGGCCACCAACTCCTATTATTATTGGTAAGTACGACACTTATCACACAGATGTATTCCAAACTATTAGACAAAGGCAGTGGTAATTCCTGGGACCTTGAATTATCGCGTACCTCTACATCCAATTTTTTTTAGCTTCATGACATTAATTCACAGACGCGTGGTGCTATGAACGTATGTTAGGCCCATTCATCAGCCAATCGAAGTTCACTTCATTTAGGAAAATTTCGTTGATATGACAACAATAACAGAATGATCGTTTACTGGGTCGAAAGCATCTGAAATTTTCGTTGTTCTGTTTTCCTTGTGGGGTTCAATTAGCCATTCAGAAACCCTGAAATTCTCCCCTCTCCGTCGCCTCATGGAGGGGCATTGTAATTTAAAAAAGTTCGTTCCGTCCAAATTGTTTCCTCCGTGGGGAGGTCTCCTGTTCAGAGTTGTATTTAGTTGTTAACTCTTTTCTAGCTCACTGAGAGTTCAATGACTGTTTTTTATGGGTAGAAAGTCACTGGTTCAACTAGTTTTACCAGTCGTATCTACATTTCTGTGCTCATAACTACTACAATATTTTCGTCACTGCATTCTCGTTTCCTCATAGGACTAAGGCACTTGTGCTGGACATCCTTACTGCACTTTGCCTCATAGAAGGCGGACATAGTAAGGTGCTTCATGGTTTCGATAGACTTCGGCACGTGATGGGCGAGGGTCTGCGTTTCGAACTACTTCTGACTCTATTTCGCTGTCATGAAGGTTTTGATGCAGAACAGTACAACGCTGATTTTCCGGTGAGTTTTCTTCTTACGTTTCCTGGCCTCAGCCTCTATATTTTATAGAAATTTTCACGGGGAGACGCGAATCGCTGATGTGTCCTGTGTGCCATGCGTCTACTGATTACAACATACCTGCAAAACATGGTGCGTAAGTGCGTACTTGATAATGAATCTGGATGACCAGAGCTACAAAGGAAGCTTATCCAATTAGTACGGCGCAGACGTCTTCTCAACAAACGTTTCCAAAAAGAGCTCTGTGCATGCGTCTACTACAACATACCTGCAAAACATGGTGCGTAAGTGCGTACTTGATAATGAATCTGGATGACCAGAGCTACAAAGGAAGCTTATCCAATTAGTACGGCGCAGACGTCTTCTCAACAAACGTTTCCAAAAAGAGCTCTGTGCTTTATTACAACCCCTTGTTGGCCAAAATCCACAGGGAACGGGCCATAACGACGCGAAACTAATGCAGTTATAGTCATACTGAAGCTCTTCACACAATAATCTTTGAGGATCACGCAGTTATTCTCGCATTTGACCAAAGAGCCCAGAGGTCACTGCGCCTAGTGGACCCTAATGGTGACACTGTTATCGCTTTCTAGTCGGATTACCAACCTAATGCTTATCTGTTGTGCACTAAACATGGTATGGCTCGCAAGTGATTCTGATGACGTCTCAGTCCGATGTGATGCTCAGATTTGTTTATTTCACTAGTGGTAGTTTGCCTGAAGATCGTAGGGCTTTTCTACTGCCTCCATTCCCTGTCTCCACTTTCCAACAGGGTGTTTATTCTCTTGATTATGCGACATTTGAGTACCAGTATTCACTAATGTTGATTCTTGTGGTGGCTGTGATGGCATTGGCTCTAATGGCATTTTGTAATAATTTTCTCTCTCAAACAGTTATTGCGGACGCGTATTTGGCTGCTCAGATAATTGTGCCTCTCGGTGCGACCCCTCACTCAGAATGAGGCTGGTATGAATGTGTCCTAGAACGTTTCAGAACGTCCTAAAACCAACCAAGTAACTGTTCTGGCCGTTCGGATTGATGATCTACCAGATAATGACCCCATATAAGATATAGGCAAATGCGTTGTGAACATGTCAACGCATTTGTTGGTAGCTTCGGGATTAAAAAAGTGGTTTAAGGATTTCTATCCCTCCAAGGCGGCTGTGTTTCAGACCTAAAACATACGAGTCACCGATGATCACATCAGGCGATTCTAGTGCTCCAGTCTGAATCCCGCCTGAATTGGTGTACTAGACGTGTTCAAACAAGGGCGGTGTTTAGCAAGATTTAAAAGACCGTGTCAGTACACGCGAACACCTACCTTCAGCATTAGTTTCGATCGTTTCGAAACAAATAATATTTGCTGTCAAATCGGACCTAGGTCAAAACCCAGTCCAGTGCACAAGCGTGGTCCACCGCCGCGTGGCAATTAAATCGGCCTCGCGGGACTCCTTATCCACGGATCCCTTGCGTGCTTGAGTTTTTGGAAACCTGTTATAAGTTCCCATTTAATTATTGCTTAGATTCCGAACACAGCCTGGCGCAATCATGTCCTTCATGAAACGTGCTTACCTATTAGAATCACCGACCCGTTGTCTAAGTCGCGATTCACCCAGTCGACTTTTTTATGCACGTTTGGCTCTGTGATCTTGTTAGTGCTTCTTGGATTTTTGGTGGGGCATTCAGAAACACACAGCGGTCGATGTGAATATCAAACCGATCTCGGTTCCGGTAGTGTGCTGTGGAGGAATTGGACCAAGGCATTGTGCGTTAGACTTGCTGGTGTCGCTTCATCTTTCTCCGTAGAGCCGTTCTAATTATACCTGTACACTGGCGATGCGAACGTTTCCAGCCCCCTCGTAGTTCTAGTTCAGTGATACCGTAATGTTATAAACAAGAATTTTCCACGAACCGTTTCTGAGGTGGGGTGTTTTTCATGACAATTAATCAAAACCATTGTGCGAGCACCGGCACGCTGATCGGCCAGCTCTTGCAGACGTAGGACTAGGCACACATACAAAGATCCACATAGACCGTCAGTTACCGGTACTGCAACACGGGCCACGTTACCTTTAGAGTAGTGATCACAGTTAGTGACTCGAATTCCACCACGAACGTTCAGTCCATGTTTATGTGCATACTCGTCGTTGGCAGTCTATTTGCAGTTTTAGGCAATCATTGGAGGTGGATCGTTGGCGGTTTCATTTACCTTAACCTTGTCTTCAGGCTCGTTCGCTCCATGTCACGATACACATCTGAGGTGTTGGAACGCAATCTTGCGCTGTTCGAACAAGTGCTCATTCCGTCTTTTCCTCCTAACCCATTTTATGGGTTCATTTTAATCGTCAGTCGTGCTAAAAAATTTGAGACTACTTCGTTTTACGTCTGTAATCACACTGATATCAGGTGGCTTGTGTTCAGTTCTTCAACATCGTCGTCCACAGTCCTGAAAATATCAATCTTCGCGTCTACTTACAACACGAGCTCTTCCTTCTCGGCCTGGATGACACGCTCAAAGTGAGTTACCGCATGCCTTGATTTCTTCATTCTGTCATTCAGTAAATCGATGAGTCCTCTTCCGGAAGCCTTGTGGTAATGAGGTGTACTGCAAACATCTAAATTATATCCACTTGTGTATCTTGACTGACAGCACTTATTGCAAGAGTTGTCTTACTGACTGGTGTCGAATTCTTACTGTCCGCTTTTCGCGGACAGACGCACTGCAATGACATCGAACGGCAATAAGTGTTTAGAAGCGCGATCTTCAAATTTGGTAAAAAACTTACTCCTTCCTGGTTGCATTATTTTATGGCCCACTAACCATGTGATTTGTGGAAGATATCTTCTTCTCTGTAAGGCTGAAATCATAAGGACCAGTTGTTATTGTTTCTTAACAAGCGTAGATGAATGTGTATATCTTTTTGATGTAGACGGTCTGCGTTGGCAACATGCTTTACACATTGGTGTATACTTTTGGTGATACGAACTACGAGAAGCTAGGCAACAACATGGTTTGCGTTAAAAATTGAGGTCAAACAGTGAGTGCGCCGAGATTTCGGTTTTCTCCTATGCTTCTCAAAATTTCCCACTCATCACTTATGAGAGAACTAATTTCTGCACATACTACATAGACGTGGTGTACAAAGGGATGACAAATTTCAGTTGACAAGCTTCACTAACCTCATCGGTCTTGTCTGCAGGACAGGGGAAGGATCAATGTTTTTAGCCGATCCAGATATGTAACCTGACAAACTTAGATCATCCTCATTTGATGCGCCGTTACCGGTCTGACCAGCTTACTTAACGAATTTCACAGTACTCAACACTCCTACTATTTTCCGTGAACATAATGAAAGGTTGACGAGTGAGCTGCTGATAGCCATCTCTACCAAGTCCGCATTTCGCCTTTGTGATTAGATCCTTCAGCATACAGTCAACATTGTTGTAGCGGAGGGTCCAAACTCAGACGGGATTGGTGAATAATATGTACGAGCTATGACAAAATCCGAAAAGGCGATAGGTGACTTCTCAGTGGAAGGATTATTCCTGGATTTCCTCCGTGCTGCTGGATGGGACACGCGGGTCGCACTCTGTTTTGATGTTTCACCGGATTTACTCAAAGCGGACTACATGACGCTCGTTTCATCCACATCGAAGACGTACCTCCGACTTTTTCGGTTTTCTAAGTGCAACCTTCCATTATTTAGAGATACTGCGGTTCTGGGAATCACTCTTGGAAGGTCTGCGTGCAACGAGATGTAATATTCCAGTTCTAAACACAGGAAAACTCGTAAGTAAAAAAAATTTCGAACGGCTACTCACAAGGTATCTCGTCTCTAAGTCTTGTTGATCAGATGCTGCAGTTGGTCCTAAAATTCCTGCTTGATTGTTCGATCCGATACATACGTGGGGGCGTAAACAGCCTTCAGTCAATTTGCTGGTCTTTACCCGTAGATGGTTATACTAGTGAGGAATTCACACATCTATTTCAGCGGAGTGAATGTGGAACTTGAAAAGTGGCCCTTGTTTAAGAATAGTCTTCATGTAGGAGAATTTATGTAAATAAATGATTACTTGACTAGTCACCAATAGTTTGATTTATAGCTTCTCCGACGTATGCCTTTATTTCTAATTTCAGAAGCTTCGTTACCGCTTTGACGATCGTTTAAAGCAACATGTCGAGGCCTACCTAGACAACCGCGTCGATTGTTCCCTGTTATTAGAAGATGCTGAAGCTAAGGAGGCTGCTGTCGCTGAGCTCGAGAGAGTGGAGGCTGACTTGGTACATAAACTGAACGCTGTCAAGGAAGCTACACGCGTCGAACTGGAGGCTACTTTCAGAGTACGTTGTTTGTTATCCTCTTGTGAATCACGGGATTGTACTGTCCACCTTTTCCCATCGGGCCCGATTTTGCTACAGACGCTGATAGAGCGTCCAGTTGTGACGGACATCAGAAGTTACACACAGCAGACCACCCTATGACGTCTTAAAATTAACCTCGGAAGCGCAATACAGTTCGGAGACTAGCTATCCTAACATATCTGTCAATTTATGCTGAAGGGAATTGCTTTCATTTTGTGGATCCGCTTTCGCTGGTGGATATCACGAAGGAGTCCCTAAAAGTTAACTAAACGATTTCCTTCATATAAGAAAATCTTTTTGCTAGGTACTCCTCAGAAAGTATCCTTCGCTGTAATTGCCCACGATGTTTCGTTCATCCCACGTTCCTAGGTCAGAGAACTGGAACTGTCAAACTTGGTGGATTCTCTCCGGATTCGTATTCGTGACCTGAATGTTTCATCTTGGGACCGCGAAAATGCAATCAAGAAACGTATGGAGGAGCTAAACCAGGCATTGAAAGCCTCTCGAACTGAAGTAGCGTATCTGCAAGCAGCAGTTGAGTCGATCAAATCGAAGTCTACCAACGTTGGTTCCGAGGTCCATACTGCCTCAATGGCGACGTCAACTAACTTCGAAGCAGATGTGCCCGCAAGTTTGGACGCGAGTGATTCCCACTGTGAACCTCCTCAGTTGGCAAGTCTAGGACTTGGTGCTCTCCGTTCGAATTCTCTGGATGTGGGTTGTTTGAAAGCATCTCCTCATTTGACCAATGGTACTCCCCCTCCAGGTTTGCTCATGGAGGACGACTTGAACAAATGCTCAACTGATCCATCTGGGAAGAATGTGAATGGTCCACAAAAACCCGTACGAAAGCGTCCGCAGCCTGCTTCTCGTAAGCTCAGTTTTTCTTTGTTTCTCAAGCTATTTCTATGTTTTCTGTGTGGTAGTCTTCGCTCTCCAGATATAATACCCTGACTGCTGTTTTTCGGTGTTGCATTCCTTTTTTAGTAAGGTCAGATGGCTCTCAGTGATGATATCGAGACTACTGCTACACTTGAAACAAGCTGAGAAACATCTTTGATGTTGTTTGAACTGGCTCATGGTAAGAACAGATCGATACGCTCTTGATGGTTTTTGTCGTGACTCCGGAAGTTGGCCAAGATTAAGCTTTAGTTTCCCCGTGGAAGCTCATTTTATTGACCAAAATCACTGCGTTTCTAATTAGTCTGCAAGCAGTCTTCTTGGACGCCATTCTGGAACCTTGAATTGGCTGTTCGAATTTGCCTGATAATGGTTGGCTCGGCTCCTAAATGGCTCTTTTGTAGCTTGTATTAGACGGCCATTGCTTTTTGCAGTGTCTTGATTGTTCATTTGCACTACTGACTAAAACGACCGACGCTTGTTGACCTTCGATTGTACACTATGAAATAACGGTATGATTTGTTGGTATCTGTTGAACCGGATTCAGATAGTTATTGACTGATCATGTTGCCCCAATAGTTTGTTTTAAGCATTCAGGTGGGCCATGCTGAAATGAACACAATGCCCCAAAATTTGAATAGTTCGGACAGAAGTTTGTCAACAAATGAGGTACTATAAGTACAGTAACTAAAATAATAAAATTTTACAAACCTTGAATCGTGGGATTATGACATCTTCTGTGCTCCAGGTTAGGTACTGCAAGTTCCAAATGAGATCCTCTACAAATAGGTGGGTAGGAAACAGTACGCTTGCCCAAAGCTCATGCCGATTCAAGACAAAATTGTCACAAGATGATGAAGCCCAGTTGTTTGTATTAAATTAGGATTGCGATGATAAGGTCAAAGGGTGGTTTACTTTCAGGTCAGGAGGGCATAGGCACAAAATGCAAACAACAAAACGAAGAATCCCGTTCCACACAACCAGAATATCAGAAAAGAATTGACACCTCGTAACTTGTTGCAGGCTGTGCCCATCGCGGCCTACCCTTCAGACCAGTTCTCAAAAAGGGCCATGTTGGTCGATTTTTGAAGCTGCTTAATTGTAGGAAGCCAGAGGCAATCTGATTCAGTCACTTTGTACAACAAGCTTTTTACACCACTTTTACGCCACTATTATCGTTTATTTTTGAAGAGTATGACCACATACCCAGGGTTAGCAGTGTGATTGTAAGATTGTCAGTATATTGGCGCTCGCGTTGGTAGACATGCAGAGAAGCTTCTTGCTTCTTGATATACATACTGGAAGCTACTTTAGTTGCTGGAGCTAGTGTCAAATATTCTTGATGCACTGTCTTAGGAATGCTCTCTGCTCATCTTGTTTTGTTTCGAAGTAAGGTGCATCAGTTTTCCATGCTCACACCAGACTCAATTGTCTACTAGCATGTGGTTTCATGCTGTCATCCAGGATCATGCACACTTGCAGCCCACACAAATCAGGGGTAAGTGGCGCAGCAATCTGAACTTCTGTGTCAATCACTTCTCTCTGTAGGTGAACGCTCAGCATCGGTTCATGTAACTGACCATACCAAATTTTGTACACGATTTCCCGGAAGTCAATGTAGCTCTCTTTGTGTACTTGGGACAACTGATCATGCGATGTTGCGATCCTTCATGTTCACCTAACTGTTTAGAAAACGAACTTATCTGGAGGACTGCTTTACGTGGGCCGGAAGAGACTTTATGTTATGTTTGCATTCTTCTGGTTAAGCCGAGATACTTAGTTATCACGACTGGCTGCCCTATTAAGCTTGGTCAGCCCATGTTGTTGGCAAAACCGGTTTCCAGTGTAGTTCCATCCAATTAAGCCTGCACGTGTTTTGTTTTCTATACGGAGGCCTTTCATGTGATACCCGCTCTCGGTTAGTCACTACCAATCAACGAAAACCTTCTGTCGAGATAACATCAATCCGGCTGCTCAGGATTGCTTCGGGCGGACACTGAACCTATGCTAACCATCAAACAACTCCCTTTATCGTATATTTCTTGACATTGTTAATAATCTGCTTTTATTCAAACTGGTCACCCTTGCTTACTTGTCTGTGTCCACGTTGATCATTCAGGTGATCATGTGGTGTCACAACACCTGTTGCTTACCGTTCTGGCTTATCTATCGGTGCCGATTACTTTAGAGTATCTCGAAGTCTCTAAGTTTGCGACGCAGGCCAGAAAGTCAGTTCCTATAGCCGAAGAGATAGCTCATTTGCGATTGTTTTTTATTTTGCCTCATGTTGTTGTCGATGCAACAGAGCACAACTAACCATAAGCGCCACCCGCTCACTTAGAACTTTTGACTGCATCTGATCTGGATCCAGTTTTGCAGGGAGATTAGCGGTTGACCGGAAGGTCCGTATTTCAAACTCAATCTTGTATTTTCGATTGCTCCTCTCTGGGCTATCTATGCCCCTCGTGGCTTTTTCGTTGCATTGCAGTTATGCACCAAAAGCTTCACCATTTTTTAATTTTTCTGTTTACTTCATTATTTTATTCTTGCCTCTGTTCGATTCTCAGGATAATGTACTCATGTTTTTCAATGAGGCCAAATGGGAACTCAGACTGTCACTTAGTGTCAGCGGACTAGCTCACCTTTCATGAATGCCATTCACAACCATACTATCTCATTACAGAAAGAGATGTCTCAAGTTAGAGCATCAGACAGAAGGGTGATGTTGGAGTTGAATGGGCGCCCCATTGGTATCCTACTTTAGCCTGTTTTTGTTTTGCGGTTGTTAAAGTGTGATAGTGTCACCGAATTCGGGATCTTCGCCCAAACATTCTACTGTCTTTCACAGTATCACACAAAAACGTGTGCTTGTGATTATACACACAGGGAAAGTTTTCTCTGTCCTTTCTTCAGCCTTCAGAGGTTCACAGTTGAAAGCTGCTGACTGTCCCGTAAAAGATTTATCCGCTGTGCGGCAACTTGCCTTGAACGCCACCAGCGCCCTTTCTCAATTGCTACAACGAACGTCCTTTAAAGACCCCGATTCGTCTGCCAGTTTTGTTGTCCCACCGATCGGATGGAAGCCGATCAACCGTCGTCAGTCTGTTAAGGACAGTATTTTTGACGGTGCAATATTCCAAAAGTCACTGAATTTGTATCCGCTTAACGTCGGTTCTGAACGAGTGGATGACCTATGGGCCGTTTGTTCGGTGCACTTAACCGAACCCTGGTTGAGTGCTACCCAGCGGTGCGAAGCTGTATTTGTCCGTCACTCAGACCTGTGTACGGCACACAGTGGACAGTCAAAGTAAGTGTTCTTACGTCCACCTACTCATGACTTTGTTTTGTCCTAGTTTCAGTTTTGTAGGAGTTCTGGTTTATGAAGCGCTTGAAAATCTCGATTTCAGTCAGTTTATCTAACTAGTTTAGTTTGTTAAGCATCGCCTACACCAAACCAGACAACTTGGGTGAGTTTATGTTCAGATAAGCAAACTTCAGCACATTTTTTACGTGGCCTACTTCTTAGCCTATGTAAAAAGTATTTTCGCCTCTATCTGTTTACTTCTCAATTTCCTTTTCCGCGGTGGTCTGAGAGCATATCTTCATTCCTCAGATGTCCTCTCCTACAGCTAGAACTTGATGGACTAAATATTGCTTGCAGTTTATTCCTACTAGAATTTGGCCCTGGCATTGTTCAATATTCGGCCGAATGTGCTTTAGTGATCTTACATCTGTGGCATCCTACAGGACAAGACGGTCTCATGATCTTATGGCCGACTAAATGCTCGTAGCAGCTGGACAGTTCTCTTTCAGGAGTCCTTATGTCACCAGTCATCCAGATTTTCGGATTTCCAAACCGAACTCTTTCATCCGGCTGTTTGGTGCGTTATTTCTATTGTTTTGTACATTTTCCTCCGCCGGAGTGTTGGGATTTTCGCCCCCCGTCTTCACCTGGTCTGGCTCGCCTGTCTAATCGGTGCACTTGGGTGCGTGTTCGACAGAACTGGTATTTAATACTTGCTGCTCCTGATGTTGGTTCTGTATGGTGTACGCAAGAATGGTTATCATCCGGACTTGGTATTTTGTGCCCTGACCCACCAGTTAGGGTGTCGTTCGTTCTCACGAATTACCCAAATGGCTCCGTGGTATGTAACAGCGACCGTACTCCTGGTCAGCTTAACCAAGTGATGGGATCAAGAAGACCAACATATCGTTGAAAGGAATCATGCAGTGGAATGCCATGGGAATAACCAAGGACTAGGCACCAGGTCCATCGACAATAATGTTCTCTATTCTACTCTTGTTTATGTCTGCTGTATCCATGAGTATCCAAGATGTTTGCCTGTAGAAATGTTCTTCTATACCATGCTTATCTGTTTGTTGCCTTTCAGTTCCTCGCGCTTCATGTGGCTTGCTGAAATGCAGCTTGTTCACTGTGATATCGTACAACAATTAGTATCCTCCGACAGTGTTCCGCTATCCTCCATTGCGGATTGCGAATTGTTTCGACAGTTGACTCGGTTCGAGCTGGATTGTGTCGTTGCACAGCGGTTGTTGAATCAAATGAGAACCGAATCAGAACTAACTTCCTCGGATATTCGAAGTGGCCTGTTCGCGTTGCTTGAATCAGCATTCGAACAAAAATTCATTTATACTCGTCAAGCACTGGAATTTTATCCTACGGCTGCTGAGAACCGTTGGTTTCTGACGGCCTCTTTTCTGCACATAATTCTGTTGAAACAGTTGTGGCCAGCAGAACTCCAGCGCATTACTGAAGTGAGTCCGCGTTTCAAAGAATATTTTGATCGAACACCATCAGTTCGGCGTCCTTGGGCTGCATCCGTTCGGTCGGCGTTCTGTTGAAGAGTAGAGGCTATTCTCACTGATCTTTTGCTTTGTAAATGTATGAACTCAGCTGCCCGCCGATTGTTCACGGGATACCCTAGTGCGTACGAATTGGGCAAAATGTGACTGTAACGCAATAAATGGGTAGCAGTACGTAGTGATTTTTCAGCTGGTTACTCCATTAAATTGGCGTCTTGTCTTCCTGTCATCCACTTCTGTTCAACTACTGTATATCGCTGTATATCGCTACGGCACAATCGCATTTCTACTTTGTTCGTTGGCCTTCCATTGACGATACACCTGTCGACGTGTAGCACAACGCACCGTCGTTTTTTGTATCCGATACTCGTGATACGATATTCCGGTTTTCAGGGGTCCTCCTTGTCATTAAAGAAGGCATTCTCGGGATTTGTTTAAAGTCAGTTTTCGTTCTTTACCATCGGAGAGGTTCATACAATTAGTCTTCTTACGCCTAAGGAACATTCCGTTAAGTGCCGTCAGACAGACAGTCAAGACCTATGCTCCTAAGGATGTGTGAACTGACAGAGTTTAGGTACGTGAGAGACTATTTCCGTCTTATTCGGATGTGTCCTGCATGACGGCCGTCGGAAGTTTTTTTCACGACATTTCACTTCAGTTTTCTCATACCATAGACTGTTAAGCGCAAAATCGAAGAGTTTATGTGGTTTCTGTAAGGGTCTTTTGGTTGATCAGTATGACTTAATTTGGAGTACTTTATATAATTGTCTTCGTGGCTGAAATTATCTGATAGGTGTTGCGTTGTCAGAATGGCTAGGGCTTCATTTTACGGTTTCACCGTCTCATTGAATCGGTTTGTGTCGCTTTCGTGAGTCTTGAACACAGTTCACTCGTGCTACACGTACTCCTGGTTTGGGAAAAATCCTGAAAAAGGGGGATGTTATACTGAATTCGGTTGGATGGCGGGCCCTTTCCTCAAACGATGAACGAAGTGACAAGTGATAATGATCACAAGGATCAAGATAACTAAGTAACTTCGTTTTACATATCAAGGTATCATGCTTCCACTTTATCCCAGTAAGACCGTTCACTTCGCTAGCATTTGATTTACTCTATTCTCCTCCTCGACTACTTTGTGGGTCATGAGTTATGCAGTTGTTCTGGCGAGTTTGCTGCCAATTAGTCCTTTCTGTAAGTTCTGGGATAGTGTTTGAAACATGCTTTACCCATTAGTGCACACCTTATGTTGATGCATCAATCAGTGTTACAAGATCATCTTTTTGCTACTGTTCTAGCTAACGGTCACCAATCTTACCCGAGAGGGGTGCTCCTGCCTGGATGTCTGTTCAGGTTCGTACCAACAAGCTAAGCAACAACATTGGTTTACTAGTCGTCACATTGGCGTCCAGATTTTGGGTCATGCCGAACGGATTTGTGCCTGGCATGCTCTCAGGCGTTGTTTCCTATTCCTACACACTTGAAAGCCGCGTTAATATTGCGTTTGTCCTAAATGGACATTATGTGATTCACCACCGCCGCCGCATAGACGATGACCAGACTGAGCAAGAAACTGTCTCCATTAATAACACGTGTGGGAACTCAGATGTAGGTGGGGGGATATTGTGATCACTTCGCGCACTGCAACAGACCGCTGTTTACAAATAGTCCACAAGTTCGCTCCTTTTTTCTAGTGCTACACTGGCGCCCAGCTTTAACGAACATCGGACTATTACTGGCTGTGTCAACAGTCCGAAGGGAGGCAGTATAGTTCGGAGCTGTCGTTCTGTTTGGTGGGCAATTCGGTTGCAAACGTTTCGCCACCAATCGGCGTCTTTAGTGCTTAGCAATGTTTTAGTACTTCGTAGTTTACCAATGCGTCGATGTCAGTGTGCTTGGTCACTACTAAGGTATAACGCACCCCTGAATTTACCACACAATATTGTCACCTCAATTGATGACGAGGCATTTGCAGCCAAACTTCCCAGCCCAGCGAACAGAATAACAGCCATCTGTGCTGCCCAAAGCTACCAGTATTCCCCTTGACCGTAAGCACACTAATAGCCTGTTGGACTGGTCATAACGGTCAACTCATGGTGTTGCACTCCGCAAAGGATGTCGCAATCCTGCACTTTTCTGTGAATTTAAAGACGTCCTTGTGTATCGCTTGCTTAATTCTTCAGTTTGACGGGACGAGAAGCGTAGATGATGACGGGTGCGGATTTGCGTCAGCTCTTGTTTTCAGAATGGTCGAAAATCAGTCTCCAGTGAAAATCAGAGATTGACCAAAATCCGTTGCTGTAGAGGAGTTCTGCTTGATTGGCCAGTGATTTTGCAGGACTTTTATTCACTAGAGTTTTATCTTATTAATATTGCTGAAATTCATGCACAGGACAGCGTTTATATTTATCAGTTTCTACGGTTCACTTTTGTCAGCCAAACTAGCGAAATTTTGTTTTCATCAAGCTTAAGGAGAATAAGATGAGCACAGCGACGAGTGATTGGTGAACTCTGGTCACTCACTGTGGTTTGCATCCTGTTGGCTATTTGAATGCAACACTCGATGAGCGCATGCCCCAAAAACACATTTTGGTTAATAGAAGATATTTCTTCCTTATCGCAGGTTGAATACCTTTGATTATTGCTCCTTAACCTACTTTACCGTCGTCGCTCTATGCGGGAGAATAAGCCAGCATCCTGAGTTTACAGAATCGTTTGGGATTTCTCCCTAATTACTTTGTTTTTGCTTATTTACGAGGAATTGCGGATGTTCTTGAAGTTCTATCCACATTATCCTGGTCTCAATGTCCCTGCCTTGTTCTGACGTGATCATTTAGCCCAGTCCATACACAAGGAAAAGCATCTGACTTGAGCTGCACTTGTGATAGATCCCGAAAGTAGCCTGTCTCCGCCTCTACACCGCCTTGAAGGCCGTTCGTCCGACTTATTTCGCAAGCTCATTCACTGATATCGGTATCGAGTGAGTGGAACAGCAACCATATACTGTCCCAGCTAGACACATAAGCGTGTTTCCTCTTTAGTGGAGTGTATGGTTTGCCAATACTTCTGTGGCATGACAATCAGATCACTTGATACTTCGATTGAAATTTGTCATATCTCTTTTCGTTATCATTCTCGGTCAAGCTTCTTCTGACTGGGACCTTTTGTCTGGTGGGAAAATCCTCTCTATCATAGCACCTTCTTACCCCTCCTAGAGCCTGTCCGCGCTATTGGCTGGTTGCATGAGCATTCTGGTGAACCCGAAGCTTCCGATCATCATGCGCCTCATTTTGGAATGCGCCTCTCGTGTTACTGCCAACTGGAATATGGAGGGTTTTCAGTTACAAAGTCTGGATGTTGTAAGTCTTTCATACCATAAAGAAGCTCAAACAATGCAGTCACAGACCCTCGCGTTCTCATGTTTGCATGTATCTGAAAACTTAGCAGGGAATGGTGTGCTGTGTATGCCTCTTGATTTGCTCGTGTGATAGATGGCATTTAAAATGAGATATGGTGTGCCGGAACAGTGAGTGGTAATAGTCTTTCTAATTTTTTTGTTCCCTTATCCTACAAGGTTTGTTTTGGATTTAATCGTATAGGCTCTTACATTTCCTAGTCCTCTTTGTTCGTGACTAAGGGCACTCTTCGTCCTGACAACTAAGGACCATTATTTAACTTGTCAGTATCGAACATTTGCAAGAATGTATCTTCGCAAGCAAGTGCATCCAAGAAATGGATAGGAGGTTCCGGTCCCGTTTCTTATTGCATCATGTGGAAGTAAATGATCTTGTTAGGCCTTAAGTTTGATCCTTCTTAGGAGGGACAATAGTTCGTACAAACAGGTGAAAACACAATCTCAAAGGCAGATTCATACACAGTGTTTGTCTATTCTTTTCGTTTCTCCAAATTTCCTAAGAAGTTCTGGTGAAAAATTTATGGTTTTCCGCCCACGATAGATATTTTTGCACAGAGTGCATCGTCATGATAATATCTTTCTCCAGTTCAAGCAGCCCATCGCTATAGTTGGATGCTCTTCTCAAGTATGCGACAGAAAACGTCTCTTTCCTACCTCAAGTCCGTTGGGTTAGTGACCCGATAGATGATAGGAAGTTTGAAGTGATTGCTTTTTATTACACGAACGTTAAATCGCACAGAATAGTGGACTTCACTATCAAGAGATCTCTTGTGAGAATTCGAATGGAAATGTCAGAATACGAATAGTAGTTATTCTTAATCAACAGCTTTTTAGTTTCCAGTGCACCTAGCTGCTTGAACGTTGGTGACCCGTCCCAGAGTTTGGAGCTGGGTATCGATCGAAAACTCTTCTATAGGTTGAGCGGAAGTGCCGCCCTGGCATAAGCTGATGAAGAAGTCTGTATGCACACCGATGGATTGATTTGGAGTAGTCTCTTATAGTTTGGACGTCGGAGATCTCATAAAGGATATGCCGTATTGATGTACCGCTGTCATAAAAAAATAACCAGCATCTATCTGTCATGTTAGTGACCATTTTTGCAGATTCACGCGCCACCTCGATGAGGTGCATAACAAAGTTTGGGATGTAATACTGATGTCAGCTTTCATCTAGCTACCGTAGCAATTTGAATGTATGTATGATTATTTTACACGTGTATATCTCGTCAAGCAAACAGAACCTCATCGCTGTACACAACTCCTCATCTACTGCCTCTGGCATTCTGTTTTCCCTCCGGTTTGGTTTGTGTCAAACTGTTTTTCAAAATATACATCCCCTCCAATGTTTTCGTTCCTTCCACATTTCATTGTGTGGATGAATCATCTTTGTCCAACTGGGAATAAAATCATCCTACGTGCTGGCTTTCGCCCACCACTGAAGCGGTCGTTCACACGCATCCACGGGATTTCGATCTTTTTGTTTGACAATCGGGATGAATTGCGGTACACATCTGTCTCCGAACTCATGAATCAAGGTCCTCTTACCCTGTTTGCCACTGTGTACTTAACAGATGAGAATCAGGTTCCGGTTGTAGTTTTTTTATCAGTGGTTTAAAAAGAACATAGGTTAGTTTAAGTTTCCTTTCTTTTCAGCTGACAGAACGCAGGGAATTTTTCCCAACCTTTCTGATATTTCTTTTTGGCTGCATGTTTAACTTTTTTACCGATTGCTTGCAGTCGACTAACTCTTTCTCATTCTTTTAAATTCCAAGCCATAACTTCATCTCTCTATAGACGTACTTCATTAATTCTTCACGTGGGGCGCCAGCATTACCTACAAGAAGGAGTGTATTTGTATCCTGACTGTCCGTTCTTTTTACAGCTACTTGATTGGACCTTATCTGGCCTAACAGTTCACACAACCCCACTTCAACCGCCTGCCGACGGTGGACCACCGGCATACTCCCCAAGTATAGCCGTAAGTGAGAAAACAAGAAAGGCTTCAATATCGTTCGTGCAATCATTTGCTCTCCTGGTGAGTCGAGTGGCTCCAAGTATATTGGATTGGCCTAGAGACCTCAGTCACTTGGAGGCAGCTTCCAGAGGTGAGCCATTCAAACAAATTGACAACTTTCTTGTGTTGTGTGGGGCAATTTGAAGGTCAGTTGGATCGGCCAATTGAAACTCATTGAAACTCAGCCGGCTGTTACACTTGCGGCAGTTTATTCCATTCTTTTGGGTGGTGACGCTGTGAGCGCCCATTAGCCCCATTTTGCACTTACGTGTTCGTTTTTCCTTCCTACGAGTTCGCTATCGAGTCCGCCTTCGAACTTCGATTCCAACTTCAGTAGCCGAAAATAACTGGTGCTCGGTTTCTGAGCAGCTATTTCAGTTTACGTTATTTAAGCTCCATAGTAAAAAAAAAGATTGAGATGGTGAATGGGTCCAATTTTAGCATTGAACAAACTCCAAAGAGGCATACGTTTACACAAATCGAACTAGACAATAGGAATACAAACTGACAGCAAACACACCGTCGGCAATAGCTGACATTCATACTTTGTAGTGTTTCTAGTTAGGCACGCGAGGGAAGGCTCATCGGAATCCCATTTTAGGAGGAAGGTAGCAGCGATGTCACCTAAGACCTTCCTGACCTCTTGCATTTCCTTCCCTGAGGTTGCCTGTTGTTTTGTTTCACTTCCAATTTAACGCGAAGATCAACACTGCTCGTTCGACAAGTGGCATCAGCTACAGGCAACGTCCTAGAATTGTTTTGGTGAAATAGCGGTTACGCCTCAGTTCAGTTATCGGTCCCGCCTTCCGAAGCTAGCGTTTTCAGCGAAACAAGCAAAGCCATATACAGCGCTTCGTACTCAAAATGTATGCATCATTAACATAGTGGAAATTCGAACGCCTTCTGGACGCGAACTTGGCAACTAGCTTTCGGTGGATGCTGGAGAACTATTGAATATCGAGTCCATGTTTTCGACCACTCAGAACTCACCTTGACCAACAGTTGGGCCTTTTCACCACGTGTCCGGTTTATTGGCAACCGCAACACCTGTTAGTGATAAGGCGTAGTTACCCTTGTCTCGCAAACCTTATCGCCTCCTTTCTATTGATTCTTGGAGAGTGCGCCAGCTGAGTGTCGATACAAGGGAGTTGGTCCACTGCCAGATCGGCGCCTTCAAGCTATGGAACATGGTATAAGTCATCTGAGGATGAGAAACCACCTAAATAGTTGTAATAACAAGTATAGTCTGGGTACGAAAATCGCCTTCAGGATCAACATCAATTCCGCGTTTTTTAACCTTATTCTTCTTTGGGAGTGGTTTTAAATGAAGGGTTTTGGATGCATCGGTTTGCGCAGTTCGCCTTTGTGGGTGCGAAAGATGCCCTGTGTGCACAGGACTCTGAAAGATCTTTTTTTGATCACAGATGTCTTCGGAACAACACACTATTCGTCGCCAAGTGCTTTGTTGGCCTGAATCTTTTAAGAGGATCTATTATTCGCTGCTTAGTTCCGTCATCATGGGTCGTCGGTTGCAATAGTTGTGGCTCACTTTGCACGTCTCTGGTGTGGCTCGCAACGAAAATTGGGCGTTCAGTGTATGGGACGCCGGAGGGTGAAAGCCCTCACAAAGAGACTCACCTTGGAAGTAACGGTACTTCTTCAACTAATTGTCAAGAGCTTTGAGATTGTATTTTTGTCAACAAAGATAAATCTTCAGTCAGTTAGTTATCGTTTCAGAATGGTTTGGTAAACCACCGATCGTTTATTTAGTCCATCTGAAAGATACACTTTATGTACACTGAAGTAGCTAATCTTATATCGGTATTCTATTCAGTTTTCTTCATACTACGGTCACGCCTTTGTGGTCCCGCTTAACTTTCCCTTTCATCTCAGTTTCTATCACGGAGATCATTGACCGCATCGGGTTGCTTGAAGCGGTGTGTAAAGTATGGCACACACTCTTGTCGTCTGATTCTCGCCTCCGAGAGCTAGACACCGAAATGCGCCCAACTACAGGTAGCCACCTGTCCTGTGATGTCGTCAGCACCCAGCTGATTCAATTGCACCAAGCTGCCGATTCCGTGGACGCGGTTGTTTTTTCAACTGCTCATTGGCTTTTACAACTACCGTTACAGACACCCTCTCCATCATCTTCCATGCAACGCGGGTGGTTAGCTCCTCTGGCTCGGTTCGCAACTGCTTTCGAAGTGGGTGTTTTCTTAAGATACACTTGCTGTTTTCGCGTACATGATGTTAATTTGATCTGACAGAGCGCAGTCAATATATTTTTGGCCAGCTACAGGGTAAAAAACTCCAAATTCTGGCGTAAACGGTGAAACATAGCTAGAAAGCGTCCCAATGCAATGTTGTCATGTGTGAAAGTACAATCCAGTTCGAATGCTCCTCCGGTACATCACCATTCTCTCATTGGTTGTTCGCAGCGTTAGCTGTTTTTTCTGATTTTATGTTCGGTTGGAAGTTTTTATACGACCTTAGAACAATTGAAGCGGGACTCCAAATGTTCTGCAACATCTGCTCGTCGGTCTCTGGTGCAAACCAGCTGTCTTTTTCTGACTTCAGGATTTCTGATATTTTTGTGACCCGGTTCCATTAGCCAGTATGGAGTTGTGTGCAGATCGATTGGATTCATACATATACCGTCCGATGCAACTAGAATACCCATACGTCATGATTTACGAGGAATCGATCTGATATGAATTTAACGTGAGCAGCTCGTTCATTTTATTTCTGCCAAGCATTTAGTTTCATTTGAGTTTCTACCCCTGATCCGTTGTATCCCGTGCGCTAGGCTTACAGTTTCAACTGGCTGCGAAAACTCATCAATAACTGCCGTAATCGTGTCCGTGTTTAGACGCATGCCTGGTCTGCAGCTTCACTTGATTAGTTTCATTGACTGCTTGGGTGTGTAACAAGTCTTTCACCTTCGACCGGAAGTAAACACCAACGTGGGTGACCCTGTTAGATAAATAGTGACAAATCTGGTTTGACTGAAGCATCATATCACCTCATACCGTTTGTCCTAGCAGGAAGTGAGCTGGTAGTTAATTCTTTTTTCTTCAGATTTATGTGGCGTGTTTAATCCACAGTTTTTCACTGATCTGTGGAACGGCTGTTTCCTCAATAAGCAGCGGCTGATTGCCATGGTCGGTTTCTGCGCTTTTTTAAGGCATCGGTGGAGTTCCACGTGATCGCTGTAGCCAAGTTCACCCGAAGATGATATGGTGAAACGTTCGGTGTTCCTCAATTGAGGAACGCGGTAAATTTCGTACGATGTGAGCCTTTCAGCTTATCCGTTCGCTTAAAAGATGACCAAATATGCAGAACAAAGTATCGACTGAGGCAAATGCTGAACGACAGAAAGCCTGAATCCACTCGTGGAAACACGACAGTTCAAAATGATTATAATGCACTAAATATGGTCCATTGGCAACTTAGTTGCCTTTTGGGAAAGAGGCTGCTTTTCCTCTTCAATCTCGTAATATGCACATATATAAAATTGGCAGTGGAGATTGCAGCTTTGTTTGCGCCAAAAGCTGTAACGTGACCCTGCAAGACCCTAATTGTTAGAGCGCGGAGCCCTAGTTTGTTACTGTGGCCTCAGAGTCCCTGCCACTTAAGTGATTTTTTTGGGGAAACTCGGTGGTAATGGCAAAAATTAATATCCGAACTCGTTGGCCGGTTTCCGATATAGAGGGGCATGCGCTGCCCAGATGTTGTTCTGAAATGAATTTTTCGCCTGCCCAATATATCAGTCTATCCCATCCAAAACTGCGATTTTTATTAGCTTTCTTGACTCTTAGCTAGTATACTATGAGCCTCGGGTGTAGCTTATGAACAGACCCCCAAGACATACCCTTCATTGTTCGTGGTCATTGTCCTCAGTCAGAATCGTAATTTCTAGCCATTGTTTGGACCCGTTAGTGATCCGTGACTTATCTCGTCGGACCTGTTTCCTTGTTTACGCCAGGTCAGATTGGTCCAGATCTCAACGCGGCTCTGTGCAAGCGATTCGTTGTTTTCTCTACGTATCAATGAGTGTGCACTCGCGTCACTCGTTTGAACTGTCTCCTCTGCTCTTGGTGCGACTATTACTAATTCGCGCTCCCGTTTGGGGCTCGTCATCAGTTCAGATTCTTGATTGTGCAGGAATTCGAACTCCTGACCTGTAGCATTGGAGCCCGATACATCTCACGGTTAGGGCGCAAGCCTACTGACGGAGAGCTGTGTATTTCAAATCCAACCTTCCGTTGTCGTTGCCTGAGCTCGGCTAACCTGACAGTATCTCAGCCTTTGTGCTATTTTCGGAGTGCATGGCAGCCGTGAACCGAAAGGATGCCGCACCTAAACATGATGAGCTTGTTAGCAACGTACACCACCATACAGTTGAGTCACTTATCACCTTTGAGTAGGTGGTATGGTTGGTTGGCCTGACGATGAGCACTGTGAACCCGTGATACATTCAGCTTCCTACTATTCCTCTGCTCTTCCTCCAGCAGCATGGTCTCTGGATAACTTTTCACGTGAAAAGTAGAATGCCTGAACAATTTGAATTTAAAATTGTACAACTTGTTTGTTGATAGCCTTCATGTGTATGGTAACTGAATTCCAAGCATCGATCGGATTACCATTAGTTTGTGACGTTCATCCACTGAGAACTCACTCGATTGTAGTATTCGTCTCTCCGCAACGGATTTTTCTGTACGTCTTTAGGGTGGGTAGCGATACTAAGGTTGCACAGTGAGACCCATCTGGTCGATCTCTGAAAACCTCGAGGACTATCGCTTCGTGAGGTTAGATTACGTATGGAAGAGAATCTTGGAGAATATTGACTTGCTCAAATACACCTGGTTGCCCGCTCCTTACTGCTAGCCAGGATATCTCATGCCACCAGAAGAAAGCACCAAGGCTAGGATGCTGCCAGGTTGCCTAAGGCTAGACAGACGCAGATGAGAGGCAGGGGTCGGGTTCGAACCACGGACCTTCCGGTCATTAAATTCGCGCATTAGCCACTGAACCCATCTCGCAATTTAGCTAGTGAGTGACAGCTTGTCTCGTTTTGATGGAAACATGTGGTATCAATCGGTTGAGACATCCGATTGCTCTTAAGATTTTCGCATGGGTGGCCATGGTAGACTCGAGTTTCGCGCAGATCGTTTATTGGGCGCACCACGGCGATGTCAAGTCGCTGATTCGCGACTGTATGAGATGTTTGTGGGATCGTGCTCTAACTGACGCCGTTTTGGATACCGCTTATCGATTGGCAAATGTACTACTTTGGTCAACAGCCAAATCATTTGCGATCCGATGAATTGACGCTTCCACCAGTTGCTTTTACCACTTATTTACTACACGCCAATAGATCCTGTTTTTTCTATTCAGCCGAATTAACTGCAGCAATGATGCACCCGTACAAACCTTGTGACAACAGTGCCGCGGATGAGTGTTTGGGTGCGCGTGTGTCACAGAGGTCGAGTAATATGAACTACCCTATTGTCATGGTCTTTTTCAACGTCTAGGGGAAGTTAGGCTGTCTCCCGATAGGTCTCAAAAGCAGTCCCACGAAAACGGAAGATTCGCCCATTGACCCCTTATTTCATTGATGTAGAGTGGTGGCCTAAACGGTTGGTGTTTGATGGTTAGAGATGTCGAGATTTTTCGACATTCCTCTGAAAATACAGCCCTATAGGAAATGCACACAGTCAGTTCTCTGATGTCCAGGCTCATCCGAAAAAGTGGTTAGTGTGCCTAACAACCGTTCATATAGAAAGCTAAGATTATCGACAGGTCACCCACTATTGATACGCCCATCACATGGTTGGTTGGGCGGTTTTTGGTGGTTTTCTCCGTGCGGGGTTTCATCTGCTTCAACTATGAGAAATTCAAAAACACTCCCTAAGGATGAAGTCCTTAAATTAGATTGTCTTGTGGGAGAAGGTGACTATGTACCTACCGAAAACTGTGTAAAATGAGTAGTTACGAAACATCTGCGTGTTGTTGACGGCTGACCACTATTTCAAGTTTCTTTGTTTATATAAGAAAATGCTTCAGTAAACCCTCCTTGTTCGTCTCGTTGCTATTCACAGTCATTCATGCAGTAGCTAGGTAAGTTCACCTTTTCTAATTCACTCTAGTTACACGCTCATCCCAAATGCACCTCACTTCCTTTCCCAGTAGCTATAACCCAACTACTCAAATGAATTTCGGTCCGCTTTCACGTTTTTACTCAACACCATCGAATAGTCGTGCACACGAGAGGTTTGTGGACAGTAACGCGCACAAAAATCTCGTGTGTTACTGTCCTTCCTCCTGGTGTATCGAAAACTTGCATTCCGAATTCAGTGCGCTCTATGAAGTGGCGACGGTCGAGAACGCATTGCGAAGGTTTTACCCTGCTCCCTGAACTTTTCAATCTCACGATTTGTGGACGATCCATAGAGTACCTTTGTACTACGGTTGTATCTCCATCTGGAGCCAGAAACTAATCAAGGTGGCCTGTTTTGAGGCGAAGGCAGTGTTATTAAACTGGTCTGATGGGTGGTCGCTCCAAGGCGGATAAACAATATCAATGTCCAATGATCTCAACAAAACCAGGTTGGGTCTGACAGTTGTATGGCGGTATCGAAAAGCATCACGACTCGTATTCACATACTGGTTTCGTCCGTCCCAAGGCCTGACGCTCTCGGGAAATGGCTCGTCGTTCGTCCCGAGATGCGCGAGGCATTGTATTCGAGGACAGATTTCAAGCAACTAAACAGCAGGTATCAAACGGAGAAGTTAGCACCGCGGACGATTTACCGCGGTGACCGCCTCTAGCAACGTCTGAATGAGGGACGAGGTGAGTAGTTCGAGTCCAAATAAATGTCAGGCTGTCACGGAACTGTGACCAACAGCCAGATGCACAAAATAACAACTATCTGCAACTTGGGCAACCGATCTAAATTCTGTTTTCGCTTGTTTGCGATGTGTAAAAACCGATTGATTGCTTATATCCCACAGATTCCACCCTATCATCCAACTAGCTTTTGCGGCCATTTTCTCTGGGTATTTTCTTGTCCTAAGCAATGGCCCTAACGGCTGTCTCAAGGCTCAGCGTTTTCACCATATGGGGCGTTTCGGTTCTCGGGATTTCTATAAATCCATGATAGGAAAACGGCTAGTAGTAGGCTGTCGTTCATCCCATGCGGTGTTTTATCCCTGCGGGGTTTGTCACATGTCCATTTGGATTACCATCGTGCGTACGTTTTCACTTTCAGCGCTGTGTTTCCGAATTGGGCGAGAACCTTCATGATCTTTGCACTGCGGCTGAAAAAGGTGCTTCAGTCGACACGCCTCATATGCGTGAACAGCGCCGTCGTCGAAATGAGGTAACTGAATTTATATGTTTGTCCGCGTGTTTGATGAAAGTCGTTTCACACTAGTCGCTGCACCTACTGGTCTCAAGCAATTGCAAAGGCCTCTTGATTAGCTTAGCTGCTGATAGGAATTTTACCGTCCGATGCTTTTAGTCTCGTGCCTGCTTGGATGCATTGTACGTATGCATTAAGATCTATTCACCTGGCTAATGTCTCGTACTTGTATGCTCATTTTAGTTTGTCCTAATTCACCAAACTGTCTAAGTTACGGATAAGGAGGACATGACCCTTTGGCTACTTTGTACCCAATTGAGTGAGCCTTGTCTGTCCCCATACTTTCTGCTGTTCCGACAAAACGGCTCAGATGGTGCTTTTCAGCTACCTTCGTTTTCTGTTTATCAGGTCTGTATGCCTCAACTAGATGGACTGTCGTCTTTTCTATTTTAAATTTGGGTAGTTTTGCCTTGTGAATATGTTAACAATCTCTTGCTTTCGTTCAGCCTCATGCACATGGGGGAGGCAAACGTGAGCATCGCCGTAAAAAACACCGCACGCGCCAACTGGATTCGGACGGAATTATGGACGACATACTTGCTGGTAGGCCTTGCTTTACCCCCATGATCACATCTTGTCACTTTCAGGTCTCACTTCTCAGCCGCTTCGAGCCGATGTGCATGTGAAAAGAACGGACTCAGCACCACCAAAGCATTCTACCTGATATTGCTTAAACATCCTGGCTAACTTTTGACTTGTTTCTGCGCAATCATGATTGTTTTTCCGTATTCACCCTTTTTTATCATTCCATCTTGCACTGACAAAATATCGCCCCATCTAATCTCCATTGTTTTTATATGCTTCCCGTTTGTTTACATGCTTGTGGGTGTATATCACACACCCTGTACCACCATCTTCCTTGCCCACAGTGCAATTCATTTTTTTCAGTTTCGATGCCGCTATTTTTTGTCTTTACTTAAAAAAATTCCTAATCAGATTCTTGCGTTGCATTGCCACCGGGGTGAGGCAATAATTTTGGAAGGGGAGAGCTTTCCTTTCGGAGAACCAGTTTTAGCCCCCAGAAGTTTGTGTGTAACTTAACTTCGGAATTCCATTGAACCGTTTAAGATTATTTAACATCCTCACAGAATCCAATGTGTAACATTGTAACACTACTTCATCATTATGAGGGCTCAGTGGTAGATCGCGAATTTACTGACAGGAAAGGCTGTAGTTTGGACCCAACCTCTACATCTTGACTGCTACTGCAGTAGTTACTGGTAGTAACTCATTCCTTGAGTTTCCTTTGGTGGCATGGCAGCTGCACATCTGAGTGGCGTTACGGCTGAAATATTATTATTACTATTATTAACATTTCACTGTTGAAATCGAGTCGAGTCTGTCTGACTGTAAAGCAATTGCAGAAGCGTTATTTCTTCGTAGTGGCATGCTGGTGGCTGCACGGTCAACATGAGGTTCAACCTAGTAATAATGCCAACTTTCGTTTGCAAGGATGATGAAATTCAGACGCTGATAAAACTCCTCTTCTTGGGGCTATTAATTAAGCCACTCTACTAATGAGTGCTGGCAGGCTAAAGAATGCGTTTTTATTACGAAGCGATTTTAGAATATTCCGCCTTTAGGACGTGTCGTGGACGTAATGTCTTCCACAGTGCAGTATGAGCTCCAGATAGCCCGTTATTTGTGGCTGAAAAATGCTTATCAGACCTGTTGTCTCCGCTCAGTGGATTGCTCCTGCCTAGGATTGGCGGTGTATCAGTCCGTGTACTTCCTTCGAGTTTGACAGCAACCACGCACCAAAACGGTGCCATAACTGGGAGATTACTATTTATTATTACAGTTTCGTATTCACGAATTTCAGAACCTATAACACCATTGTTGGTTATATATTTGTACGCCTGCTTTGGCCTTTGTTGAAAATGGTGACCATGGAGTTGATGTCTTGTTACCCCTGTAGGAATGATTCGCCAGGCGACGTGCGCTACGAGTTTATTCGTATATATATATATATATATATATAT